CGCAGATGATAGGTCACTTGGTTAATCGGAGCATACAATATCAGAGAGACTCGTGTGACAACGTGATCGACCGTCTGAAACCTGGGACGAGCCACACGGACTCGGTTCATTCAACTGATGTGTAACTGAGCGCCATTTGGTTTTGTCTGTTGCCGAAACCACTAATTGAAAAATATTCTCTGGATATAGATCAACGAGTAGCCTATCAGCAGTCCATCTAAAGATACATTTCACAGATGAACTGGTTTTTAATTACACACATTTGCGTGGTGAACAGCAGATGGGGCGAACCCCATAAGTCACGAAGACTTGCTGCTTCGTCATGAAAACCGGTAACATTAGCCCCAGGACTTGGAGTGGCGAACCACATAAGGCCCCGATAGGTCAGGTGTGATATTGGATCAAACGACAGCAAAGTAGTCAACCCTCAAAGTTGGATGACGGTGGTGNGGGGCTTGAACCTCGGACCATAGGGTCCAAAGCACGCCAGGGACAGTGACTAAACCACTGCGCTATCGGTACGCACTTTGATGGTCTACCCTAATTCGCTAAAAGTTTTGTTTTTCAATTAGGGGATTTTTGTTACTGTTGTGTGACCTAAATGCGTGAAACACACGTTACTACGGGGTTCTAATCGAAAGCTCGTTCTGTCTGTGACGGGAACTGATAAATTCCTTGAAATACAGTTTCAGTCGTGGATGGACCAGGTTGATCGCAAGTCAAAGACAGACAGTCTGCAAGTAGGTGAAAAACATGGAAAACTCAGCCCGAGGGATAAGCTTTGTCGATGGGGCCCGTACCGATCGAATCGGTTCTCAAGTAAGGTGGATTAGTTACGTGCAAAATGGATTCGGCACGGAAAGGGGTGTTGCGCCGAGACGTGTAGGAACTGAACTGCAAGCTGCACTATTCTACAGCTCGAACAACATACGCAGATCCTTTAGTTTGCGTGGTGAAGACACGAGTGCAGCCAGTTTGAATTGAGTGTGAGTTGTGTGCATGTCTCACTGGACCCTTTTTGGTTCATGATTGGCTTTTTGTATCTTCCCTGTCTTGCACGTTGCTTGCAAGCCCCCTCCACGGAGAACCAACTGTGAGAGGTGTGGTCTACCTGTGTATTGAAAGCGTCGGTGAGTGGTCAGGGATTGTGTGGCCCTATAGCGATGACGCTAGTTGTATAAGAGCTGTATTGCTCGGAATCAATCTGCCAGTGTATTTCGAGTGAATTCAGAGCTGGGGTCGATCCTGCATACGACGCTTGTTCACAACAGTAAAAGTATTCTTATTTAGTATCACATTACAGAATGCCTGAGAGTTTTAACCAATTAGCAACCCTAAAAAACCACGCATTCCCAAAAATAGCCGAAATTAATGAGTAAGCATCTGGCAAAGGAGATTAGTTCGGAACACATGCGTTACTTTACGGCTAATTATAAACAGACAGACAGACAGACAGTTTCCTCAAAATTACGGATAATACTTCCCTTCTGAGAGCGTCGTGTTTTTGTAGTGTGTATGTATGTGGTATTACAAGGCATTTTATTACAGTCACCGGACGAGAGAAAATAAGTTGAACGTTGATGACTCACTTGTTCCAAATTATCAAATTTCGCCTGATGGTCTGTGAACTGACATGGGATTCGTAGACGTTGACACAGAGAAATCAATTGTGAGCTTGGTCGTTTGGACGATGGAGAACTTTGTGAACCTAATGCACCAGACTGGTGCTCCACTAGACAGAATACGGCCAATTGTGATAACAGACGTAACCCAGGATTGTTGATGGTCGCACGGTCCGCGTCCATGGTGGCTGCTGCTGTTGTTGTTGGGGAAACTGCCGGTGATAGACTGCGTAACTGATGCGAGCACGCACGTCCCAGCACATTCGGCGCATCCAGGTCAAAGTAATCATCCATTTGTGAGCAACTGTTCGACCGACGTAGACTGATTGATCGACTTACAGACTGAGCCTCCAGAGAATCTAGTGGAGGACAAATGTGAATTGTGCTCATCATATGAGCGTATCGGGTATAATCTTCACATAGATCAAGGTGAAAGAAACGCACCAAGCACCTGGTGGGTGGTGAACGAGTGTTGTCACAGAAAAAGTGCAACGAGAATGGAACGGAGACCACGTCCGTAGCGAACTGAGCTGAGTAGACCCCGGTAACAATGAGTGTTTGTTGTACAGTTGAAGCGCCTCGTCCCCCTAGACCATGGAGCAAATTCCAGGGTTTGAGCTTGTTTTATTTTCCCAGTAATGGATGGTATCGAAAACCTTTGTATGCTAATTAGCTCCAGGTGTCTAATACGAGCTCATTAGCATCCTGTGGGATAGTGTTCGTCGATCACGGGCCTCGTATAGTTCATCACTCTCAGTTCCGGGGCTTAGGTTTCATCAACAAGAGGTAAGTGCTCGAGACCATAGGGTTCACCCAGTCAGCAGCATCTTAAGAAAGAAACAGCCTAACTTAATCAGCTCCGAGTTGATACGGGGTTCGGTCCAGCTATCAGTCATGGGACCGGAACTACTACTACTCTACGGTTAACCGCCTCAGTTTACGATTGTTGCGTGTGGTATCAATGAGTTGAGTAAATGTTTTGTTTAGAGTAACAATCTTTAAAAAAAAAACAATACCGACGTGAACCATCAAAACACTCGATCCGCAATCGTCACAGAAAAGAACATGTTTTATAGGAGATAAAGGCTATCCAGAACAAGAAACTTTGTAACTTGCCTCAAACAGTTTTAACAATGAGTGTCATACTCCGAACCCTGAAATTAGCATTCATTTTTAATCAGTTGAAGACTGATGCGATATCCACATCGCTCTTGTACTAAAAAAAGATCGGAACTTTTTGTCCGAACACCTCGACCCCCGGGTAACTTAGGTCATTACCGCGAATCACGATTAACGCTGTGTCCTCCTCAGTTATTGGAAACGGCGCTATTACCTGCTTGATTGATCCCATTTAGTCAAAGATTGATGAACAGTACAAGACTATACAGGTTAACCTTTTGGACTACAAAAATGCATCCGGGTTTTCATCACGTACCCACATAATTCATTTCAGTGAAGCGTTTAAATACTTGCACCGCAACCGTTCACAACTCCGTCGTGCCATATCTATTTTCGGTTATTGGTTTGCAGGAGTGGATTATTTGATGAGCTGAAATGAAATCTCACTGTTCTCCCATCTCGTCATAACTTTACACAGTATTGCTTAACCAAGTACCCTTTTTCTAGCTTCTTCAACAACAAAGCTAACGTGCTCAAGTTATTTTTTTACAGAAAATTTGTCCAAAACAGACAAAGAAAGTTCATTCCTAGTCGATCATAACTCACCGGCCCAATGCCCGATGTTGTCCAAACTGAAAGAACTGTCCTAGAATAGAAACCGGAAGGGAGGATTGTCGAAAGTGAAAACGGAGAGAGAGGCGAAAAAGCAAGATGTGACAGATCAACTAATTGATCACGAACATCAGAAAGTCAGAAGATGAAGCGTACAACTAGTTGAGCTCTGATTGAAGGGGTTCTCGATTTACAGAACAGTTCAGTAGCAGTCTGGAACAATCCGGCGTAGAAAACAGAGATAAAAAATGTGGGAAACAAATTTACTAGCTAATGATCGATCTTGTCATTCAGTTCGGCCTACGGGTAGATACGGTACAGTAAATCAATGCGCCTCGTCTTGCGTATTGAAATCTATTCCAATATANNNNACTTCACATTACAGTGCACAAATTAACTCAGCAGTACTGTCCTGTCAGTTAAGTCAGGAACTGAATGTGAAACCGATTTATGGCACTGACACCTTCCATTAATCACAATGGATGGAACCACAAATGCATGACGCTGTGCGCGCGGATTTGACCACATGGGCTACTGTTGTTGTTGGGAGCTTGACGAGATCTGACAATCCAGTTCCGCGCCTCCAGATCGTCAGTTTTCATAAACGCGGAATCGGTTATCGCGATAAAGCGAAGGACTGAACGAAACGTTCCAGACAGGATAAAAATTGTGGAAACTAATAGTCAAGTTCGCAGAATGGGTGATGTGAACCTGAAGACGGCATCCATGCGTCAGTTCGACTCAACTAGGTCGAAAAACAGTTTACATGACGAAATTCCTCAAACAAATGAAATGAATCCTGTACTACTCTCATGTGACACTTCTCTAGGATCCCAAACCTTGACTTTTTCAATCATGAATACCAGCTGATGTGGCTGAAACTCCGAATTTCTTCCTTTAATCATTGCTTTGGTGTTCTGTATCGTTACTCCAATAGTGGCGACCCGTTCATCTTTGATTTTCTATCTTCGAACATTAAACACTTATTTGCAACCGACCCCAACTGTCATGTTATCTTGGGAGATTTCAACGTTCACAATTAGGAGTGGCTAACATATTCATCTGTTACTTCTTCGCTGGGGCGCAAAGCCGAACACTTCGCTATGGTAAACAACCTGAGCCAACAAGTTCACGTCCTCACACCCTCGATCTACTTCTCACTTCGGTCCCTTCTTTCCTCTTAGATATCGGTATCCTCCCTCCTCTGCGCTCATTGGATCACTGTTGTGTTTCTTGTGTTATTAGGTTTTCAAACTCCGAGCCATCACCCACCTCGAGACCCACATTCTGGCGCTACAACTCAGCCAACTAGGATGGTTTCCGTGATTTTCTAGCTGCCTATCTCTGGAACGACCGCTGTTTCTCTTCGGATGTTTTAAACTTCACCGACGTCGTTCTTCAAGGTATGCATCTTTTTATTCCGCACTTTGCCAAACCCGGCGAACCCGAATCCCTTGAGCGGTTTAGCCATGCATGTGATCGTGCTGTACGCCTGAAACGTTCAGCCTTCCGCCGTTGGTGCCACTCGCCTATCCCCTCACCCACCATCTCTTCGTGCAAGCTAGGAACAGATGCTCGACAATCATTAAGAGAATCAAAGAACGCTTCGTTTGCCGTAAAGCCGAAAACTTAATCTCGTTTGCCACCGGTAGCCGAACATTTTGATCCATTGCCAAAGCAATTTCTCGCAACTTTTGCCCTACCAACCTCCTCCCTATCTGCAATTCTTCTGATGATGTTGTATGTCAACCAAACGAGAAAGTCGAGGTTTTTGCT